TACCTATCACAGCCGGCGGGAAACAATGAATGCGGGTTTTATGTAATGTGGGTAATGCTTCGCTACATCGGCGGGAAATTGGAAGAAGCCGATAAGTTGGTGTGTATAATCCCTATTTCATTTATGTCTGTTAATAATTCAATAAAATGATTTACTGTTCCTCTTTGGATATCATCTTTTTTGAATGACATCGCAAGAAATATAACCACCAAAGGCTGTTAGACATGGAGATCGTCGCGCTGCAATCGGAGCTCGCAAAATTCATCTTAGCCGAGGTATTGGAAAAAGATGGAGTATTTTTCATTGCACAATCCGTAAAGTACAAGGACCAGTATAGCCCAAAGCGGCTCACCAGATTATTGTAAGAAGTCCGAGAAGCATTGCACAATCTGTGAAGTCCGAGAACATTTCTTTTTTTATTTTGAGGGATCGAGATCTGGATAAGAACATTTGAACTGTAATCGTAACATTTGTAATACTTAATATTGATGGATCTGTCGTCTACGTAGCGTATATAAAGCGAAACCCGATTCCATGAAAAAATATAAATTAAAATCAATTATAAAACAATAAAATGCGAATGTGCCATCACTGCCGGTTAGCAACGAACCGGCAGTGTTGTCGTAACCATCACTGTCGGTTATCAACAAACCGACAGTGTTGTCTTGCTCAACACTGCAGGCTTGAGCCATGAACCGACAGTGTTGGCTTGCTCAACACTGCCGGCTTGAGCCATGAACCGGCACTCTTGAAGCAACCATCATTGTCGGTTGGGACTACAAACCGGCAGTGTTCAACTAGACACTATCGAGTGGTGCCAGGAACCGACACTGTTGCCTGTAGATCAGTGTCGGTTTTTAAGAACCGACAGTGATGTCAACCCCCATCAGTGCCTGTATGCCACTGTCGGTTCAAAATCCGACAGTGAATGGGGTTTTTGAACCGACAGTAATGTTCAGATCTGGGGTAGTGTAAACAAGGAATTACAGGCGTGCATATCACTACAGACTACCATGCCTAAATGTGATTTGTGTTCCTCCTAATGATTTTGGAAAACAATATTGAACTGATGGAACGCCGATATATGGTAAAAAGGAAACTATATTCACACTGGAGTGATCAGGTTAAGAATAACTACCATTTAGAGGTTCACCTATTCATGCATTGAGCCTTCATCTAATCTCAAAGAGGAGTGAAGTGTCATCTCCAAGAACAATGAGGGGTGCTCAAAACTTTGCAGGCTGCAAGCTCACAACATTCCTGCATCTAGTTAATGGTCTTGCCATTACAACAATTGTATACATATGTGAACATAAATAAACTATTATTATCTAGATAAATGATGTCTAGGTAATCACCTGCACTCCGTTGATTTCTACATAACTGCTTCGGTCAAAAACAGGGAGACCTCACTTTTTTTTACTAAATGTGATTTTTTTTTACTAAATGTGAATAATCAGATATACAAAAAGAACCTTGCCTATAGTAATAGCATGCTATCGACAGGATATTCATCTACAACAGCAAGCTTGAGACTTTTGAGTTCACATATAAAAGCTTCAAAAACCAACATGTACAAAACAATATAACAGTGGGATAGAAAATAAAATAAATCTAATACATTAGATCGACTTGAGTAGTATCAGAGGATGAAGAAGAGGAAATTTAATAAGCTTTCATATTGCTCTACAAAATTTAACATTTTTTAGATCAGGAATTTTTAGATCTCTCCATATAGATTTGTGTTGATATGGTAGGCAAAGGGCATACCAATGGTACCTAACGGTGTGAAGAAGAGATAATAACCTTTCACTTCTAGCATATTACTTAGCACTTATACAAATTGTATTGGCAAAATAGCAATATGCCACAACTTTAGCTAGACAAACAGAATGTGCAATTCTACTGGTACTTTTATGCTCTCAAACTTTAAGTTTGACAACAGCAAAATATTTTATAGTAGATGACTATACTATGCAAATATACTATCTCATGAACATATTTCGCATAATCCCTCTTATGCTCCTCATCAATTTTCAAAAACCATCCAAAAAATATTCTTTTTTTGGGGGGGAGGCAAATAATGTACAATTATTTTAGGGCATAGTAAAGGGAAAGATCAATATTTGTCATTAACTCAACACAAAGGTCGAAAGGTTAAGTTTAAGAAACATAATCAGGCACTGAGTCATGAAGATGGCATTATTTAAAATATGTAGGGTTCTTTGTTCATACAAATTTGCACAAAGTGTAAAACTGTACAAAATGAAACCAGTTATAACATTGTTCTCTTTTATTTACCATCCTAATAAAGGGGGTACTATACAGCTTGGAAGTTTTTCCATTTTGTCCTTGCTCTACATTAAATTATCTAACATATAACAAATAATAATCTCTAACTACTTGCAATAATACAATTGGAAAGATGAAGGGGAAACTGACACATACTTTTATGACTGTGGATAAAACTGACAAAGATACATCTACTTCACCATGCTCTAAACACAAAGAACTCGAGCAATTAAATTGAAACACATATGCAAACCAAACCATTACTTAGTAACTAGAGGAAGCTCCACTACACCCCAACCACGTTTAAGAAGATTTGGAGATACTCGCCTTGGTCATATAGGACCAGTTCATTTGACATCTCGCTTAACATTATTTCATACAACCACATGTTTTATGGTGAAGACTTGGTCTCACGCACCCCATTAGGTAAAGTCAATAACTACCGAGAGTCCAAAGTGGCAATGGGTTATCTGGAAAAGACATGGTTGTTGGGTGATCTTCTATGGCCCGTCCGACATGGATGTTGTGTGATCTTCTATGGCATGGATGCTTTGTGATCTTGCATGATTTTGAAGATATGTCTATGTGTGAACAACTTATTTGAACCTTGTATATTTTTGGTCCCTTAAAGACAATGGGTAGTGTTGTATGGATGCCTAATTAAGGCCATGCCATCCGGGTATGAGACCTTGATGAGCCTATATCCACCAAAAGCAGGTTAGAGACCGTGCCAATCATATGAGGAAAGTATACAACCTTTGCAGAGTATATCAGTCTATTCGAATAGCCATGTCCTTGGTACTAGGCATCTGTTAGGATGAGGTCTCATCATGATAGACTTTCTGCGCTAAGTATGTTCATGGTTTTGTAGGTGGAAAGGTGTTAGTATGGTTATTTGATACTTGTCTAAAATTTTGGAACTAGTGGGAATGATGAATCCTTCCCCATGGACAACCATTTTTTTATATACTTTATGATTTCAACTTATTTACCACTTCGGCTTTCCAAACTATATTTCTTTTAAATCTACTTCCCTTCTATTTTAGAAATCACGTCTTCAAAAATAACATTTTATCTATGTTTGAAATTCCTCATCAAAATCCTATTTGTACCTGATTTGGGAAACTCCTTTTTCATACTCTATTTGTTCTTATTTGGGACTCCTCTTTCAAACCTCATTTTACTTTTGTTTTGAAAACCTTTCTTTTTTCAAAAATCTCCTTTATTTCAAATGTTCTGTTTGAGAAACCTTTCTTTCGAATTTTGCCTGAAAACATTTCCTATCAAAAATCCTCTTTTGAAAACCACATGTTTACCTCCTACTATTCTGAGCCTTCCTCCAAAACCTAAAACCCCTCCTTAGCGAATCCTCCTCCCACTTACAACACCCAAAAGCCTACCACTAAACCCGAATTTTTTTTGTTTAGGCTTTGTCTTGACAACTTTATGTACTCGACCCACTGCATTTTTTTGGAATGGAACCACATGAGGATATGAAGCCATAGGAGTGCGTAGAACAATGATGACACAAGAATGGCTACAAGAATGAAGATACAAGAACGAGCAAGAATGAACGTTACATCCACACCCAAGTTAATGCCAGTGTATCGAGGCCTAAGGCCAAGGTATGAAAAGATGAAACTATTATCAATATGTTTTCCTATTAATAAATAAAAGTGTGGTTTTTTATATCAACATGTTCAATCTACATGTATTGGCTACTAATTTAGGGACGGGTACATCATGCATAGTGGACCTGCGAGAGGAGGGCTCGACATCCATTGACACCACACATGTGCGAATCTTTTCATTTCAAGCATTTTTTAGAGGAAAAAACATTTAACTTTATCATAGCCTTCTAGAAATCCACTTTGGAAATGATTTCATTTGTTTTTTCTATGTAAAAAAAAACTCGACCCTCGGATGGCTAGACAGCCCCGGAGCTTTGCGCTTAAGAATGAGACCTCTCACGCAGGTCGAGAAAAAAACCCCAAACCCTATACTCTGCCCACACCCAGGGGTCCGTAACCCTGTGAGAGGGCCGATCCGCAACCTCTGCTTTCGGACGTGTATAATATATTGTCATGATACAAAGGTAGTCTGCCACGGACGTATAACCTTTGCGAAAATTTTTAACCTTATATTTAGAAAGCAAGTCGTTCTGTATTTTTGAATTTTGATAGCCTCTTGACGCCCTTTGATTTGTGGAACATGGACCAGTCAATTTTAGAATTAACTCGTTTAATAATATATATCAAGCAATGTAATTTCGTAATGTTTCAGCACAAGTAACAGCAAATTAAATATTGCCAAATTCGTCAGAGATAGATCAATCAATGATGCAAGAAAAACGTCACGACGACGTATAAGATGCAGTAGCATCAGTACAAGGAAAATTAAGTAACACTAACTAAAAACTCAACAAAAAGAAGAAACTACTAATTAGGCACGACAGTGCATGTCGTGTATCCTTATTTACGTCATAACTCAACGCGTTATGAGTAGTCCAGCTCCTTTTTACGTCATAACTCTCCATGCAAATTAAAGCACCTTGTATATATATAACTCAACGCGTGCAAATAAAGCCGGATCAATCAATCTAATTAACCAGCTTGTACGTACGACTCGTCGTCCCTTTGCTTGCATTGGCGCGGTCGAAAGGATGATATGGATGGATCTGCTGCTGGTAGCTAGTGTGGTATATATGCTCACTTGAACAATGGTGGGATGCTCTGCTCATTCCTGAAGTAGTCGGTGGGGTCCACCTTGGCCTTGATCCTGGCGAGCCTCTCGAAGTTGCACTTGAAGTACTTCTCGCCCCACACCCTGCCGCTCTCGTAGGTGGAGATGTCGCCGACCACCTGGTTGACGCCGAGGTCCAGGTCCCTGTAGTTCACGTACGCCTGCCTCGGGTTCTTGGTCACGTACGGCTCCATGAACGCGTACATGTCCCTGCTCCACTGCGTCGGCGCGGCGCTGCCGGCCTCGCCGGACCAGTAGCTGACGTACTGGATGTTGAACAGCATGCCCTGCCGGTGCGGGAACGGCGTCGCCCTGTCCGGGATGGAGCTGATCTTGGCGCCGTAGGGGTCCATGATCATGATCCCGGCGCCGGGCTTGGCGAGCCAGGTGTAGATCTTCTCCCACACGGCCTTGGGGATGGGGTCCTTGACGTAGTCCGACTTGTACTTGCCGAACGCCTTGATGTTGGACGTCCGGTTGAGGAGGTCGTTCACGGTGGCCGACGCGCCCATGGGGATGTAGGCCGTGGACTGCACCCACGACATCTCCTTGCAGTCCGCTTGCTTCACGCCCAGCTCCGGGAAGCGGCTGCCCATCAGCGGGAGGAGGTCCTTGCACGTGCCGAGGAACAGGGCCTCGAACATGGCAGTGTCTCCCATGGCCATGATCCGGATCATGAGGTCCTCGGGGAGGGACGGCGCCACCTGCTGCCATTTGGTGATGAGGTCGATGGCGCCGTCCTTGAGCCCCCTGTAGACCTGGAACACGGTCACCTTGGGCGGGACGGGCACGAGCTTCAGCTGCCACGACACCACGATGCCGAAGCTCTCGCCGCCGCCGCCCCTGATCGCCCAGAAGTAGTCCTCGCCCATGGACTTCCTGTCCAGCAGGATGCCGTTGGCGTCCACCACCTTGGCGTCGATGACGTTGTCCACGGCGATGCCGTGCTTGCGCAGCATCATGCCGAAGCCGCCCCCGCTGAAGTGGCCCCCGACGCCGATGGTGGAGCACACGCCCGCCGGGAACGCGAGCCTAGGGGTGTACTTCCCCGTGAAGTAGTAGATGTCGCCGAGCTGCGCGCCGGAGTCGACCCACGCCGTGGCGTTCCTGCCGTTGATCGACAAATGCCGCATCATGGACATGTCCACCACGGCGAATGTCTCCGGCTTGGCGGACCGGTACGACAGGCCCTCGTAGTCGTGCCCGCCGCTCCGCACGCGGACCCGCATGCCGTGCTTCCGGCCGCACGCCACAGTGGCCTGGATGTGGGCGGCTTCGGTGGGGGTGATGATGTACAGCGGCTTCACCGTCTTGTCCGAGTCGAACTTTAAGTTCCTGACGGTGGACGCCCAGATGGAGCCGTACGCAGGCGAGCTCTTGGTGTAGAGGAGCCGCGGGGAAACGCTCTTGGTGAGGCACGAGAGGAAGTCATCTTTGGCGGGCGCGGCCGCGGGCATGGCCGACGGTGGGTAGGAAATGGAGGCGTGGCAGGAGGCTGACAAGGCGCACAAGAGGAGCGCCAAGGCAAGGGACCTTGGTGGCGCCATTGCAGGGGATCGAGTAGATGGCACTGCAGTGTGTGTTGGGTTGGGTCACCACAAGGGCAGGACATAGGCTAGCTTTATATAGAGGCTACGAGTGGGCATTCCTCTTCTCCGTTTCCTACTCGCGCGGATCGATCGATTCATTGGTCGAGGAGGTACCGGCTTACGCTTACTGCATGCATGGAAGCTACGTACTATATCAGGGAAGGTAACTGGTCAAAGCCTACGGCCGAGCGTTTTTACAGGGCCTATGCCGGATGGATTTCTTGCAGGTTACATCGGTGTAAATATTCGCACTAATGCAAAACAATGCAACGTTAATGTGGAGCCAAATAATAGTACCGAAGTCTGGTCTAAGCTCATGCAGGCATGCATGTATCAAAGAAACCGTAGACGAGGATAGAAATTCCTACAGAAGAGGAGACCATTGTTAGGGCAACTCCAACCAAACCCTCAAATTTTGCCCCCCTATTCCTTTAAATGAGAGTCTTTCATCCATAGTTCATCCCCAACTCCTTAACGCACTCAACCGACCTCATAATTTTTTCCTACTTTATACTATATTGTCATGGACCCCATTTATCAGTCCCATTCTCAACTTTATGGGAAGAGAGAAAGGAGGATGGGGGGGGAGGATGAGGGAGTCCTACATGTAGGGGTTCATGAGAGAGAAATGTGAGTCCCCCATCCATCGAGGCTTGAATAGGAGCTCGGTTAGAGAGGTTTTTGATGTGCTTGAGCACTCAAAATAGGATGAGGGCTCAAATAGGAGTTTGGTTGGAGTTGCCCTTAGGTTGGTCCGGTCCGTCCAATGGCCCAATTCATGTCTAGTATCAAAACTTTACATGCCCATGCATGTAGCATTATTGACCTGTTTACACTAAAATTTGAAAGAAGAACGCGGGAACTCAAACGCTTCCAAGATCGCATCAATCAAGGAATCGATTGCATAAGAATCGATATCAGCTGATTCAGACACGACACTGGAATCGGCTCTCTTTGAAGGACGTCAGCAGATAACGATGATGAGCTACAATTGGTGTCAGAAAACTACATATCAGACTCTACAAAAGAGGAAAGAATAGGGTCTAAGTTATCTTAAGATAGGAATATTTTCTTTTATCCCAAAGATTATAATGAGTCGTACTCAAGTAGGATTTATGCTTAGGCTCCGGGTATAAATATTGAACCCCGGCTATTGTAAGGGACACACAATCAATCAAATACAAGTCATTTACTTTTTTGGCTTCGGTCAACCCTTAGGAGTAGGAGTAGAGTAGATCTCGGCGAGTTCTTCAGCGAGCAGGGCTGCATCGGTCCGGCCGACCTCCAGCTTGTCTGTAAGTACCGTCATGGCTTATACTTCTGTTCGTACGGCTGCATCGATCCGATCGACCTCCACTGCGACTCTAGTATAAGCTAGTTATCGACTCTTGTCTAGTTTAAGTACGACTGCATCGATCCGGTCGACCTCCACTGCTCGAACTAGATTAAGGTCAAGTTATCGGCTCTATCTAAGGGTGGTGTCCTTCGGGTAGATTCATTAAGTTACCGATCTTGCTGATATTTTTTTATCATTATTAATTTACAGCAACATCAATCCGTCCGGTCGAGATCGAATTAGATCGGCTTTATATCCTTTTAGTCCGTCGTTCACTTTACTACAACACGATGTTTCTTACTCGAGCGATGAATTATGCTTCATCGGCTGTTTTTACTTCGATCTTGATCGTGCATAGTATGCGATTAAGGCATGAATAATCTTGAAGAGGTTTGCTGGCTAGTTGAATTTGGTTTATAGTTCACCATTATGGCTGTAACGATCCGATCGATCCCCATTAATGGCACTGTAGATTGGAGGATACTAGTTAGTAGATTTGTTCCTAGTTAGGCGTGACCTTAGCTGTTTGCTATGCTTGCATCGGCTAAATAGCCGATCGCCTATGCGTTAACGCCTACGTTGTGCGTCCATGATTCTGTTAATCATGAATAGATCTGTGTACTTTAAGGGTTTGATTCGTTGTCTTTTTTCACGGCTGCATCGATTCGGTCGAACCCCACTGTTAGAGATAGCAGGTTGAGTCTAAGGAGTTCATAGGTTTGTTCATGTGAAATAGTCGATTGTTCACACGCTGTAGTCCTTTTCACCTGAATCGGCTATTTTCCGAGCCTTCACGTATAGCATGTCTTTCGGAAAGCCTGTCGAAGTAAGGATGTTTTTACGGATTCTTCGGTTTTAGTTTGTTACTATCATTATTGCTGCCATCGATCCGGTCGAACCTCACTGTTGGTGGTAACAGATTAGATTCAGAGCGTTTGTACATCCGTTATATCAGATAGTCGATTCGTTCGTGTGCTATATATTTTCCTGATTAGATTCATCGGCTCAATGCTTTACACTGGCAATATCCATCTAGCTGATGATCTTATTTACATCTACGAGTACTGTATCTGTCAATATGAAATTAATCGCTACCCACGAGCTTTACAGTCCGTAACAGCCGATTTCTGTGCGAATTGGCTATTCAGTCGCTCTTCCCGTATGGCTGCTCCTGAAGTGGCACACTTGGAACTGTCTAGGCACAGACCGGCACATTCCACCTTAAATTACTGATAAACTTTCTCTCCATGTCAATTGTAGGGTCAAATTGACTGGCACGTCTCGAGAGGAGTACGCATGATCGATCATCCCTGCGTTGAAGCCAAGCGGATCTCCAGCTCCATCGAACAGACCCTTCCGGCTTGCTCGTGTGCCTGTCACTTTTTTGTGCTGACATGACCTTATCTTTTTGAGTGAAATTCACCCTAGGTTCGTAAAGTTGTCTTCAAGTGTCATATAGGTCCTCAAAATCCCAATTTACATTTCTGGGTCCCTAAAATTTGTTTGGGTCTCACCAGTCATCCAAACGGGTCTATACCTGGCCGGGTAGCTGAGGTGGCAATGCCACGAAGTGTCCCCCATGCATCTGGCATGCTGTGGCCGGGTAGTGGGGTTTGGCCCATGCCTTGCGTCTACCCTCCTTCTCCTCTACCATTCCATTGTTTCACCTGCCTCCTCGACTTCTCCGTTGGGGGGAGTTCCTAATCATCTCCGATGAATAGGGAGGAGGGTGTCGGCACTGCATCACCAACAGTGCGATTCTAATAATCATAATTAAAATCTATTCTAATAATCACAATTTAGACACTGATCAATTAAGTTAATATGGTCACATGTGAATTTTTATTATTTTGAACCTTTTTAATACTATTTTTAAATCTAACACTGTTTAATTTTTTTTTCAAAACTAACACTTTTGGCTGCGCCTAATGCCACGGCGTGGCAAAACCATACTACCACGCTGTGCATGGTGGCGCGGTGAGCCCGCCACCGTGGCAGTCAACTACGATGCTGACCGTTGACATGACTACTCCTGCCGCGCCACCCATCATGGCATGGTAGCACCTAATACAGGCCCGCGACCTAGCCTCCCTTCCCTCCCTTTCTTTCTCTCCCTCACTAAACTATGATCGGATCGAGCCGCTCCTGCAGCCACCACCACCGTCGCTCCTGGCCACGTCCGCTGCAGCCGTCACCCACGCGCACGCCCCCGCCCTTCCCCTCCATTGCCGTCCACCACCTCCATCTCTCCCTCACTCCCCATTCTCTCCCTTTCACCGCCCCCTCCCTTCCCCTCTACCGCCTGTGCCCGTCCCACCCACACCGGCTACCGTCGCCTCCCTCTCTCCCATCTCTCCCCATCCTCTCAGTCCCCTACCCCCACCCCTATCCCTCCCTATCTTCCTCTCTCCACATGCTCTCCTCCCCCTACCCCCCGCCAATGTCCCTCCCCGCTACAGAGAAGAAGCCATTGGCCGGCCATTGTCGACGGCAGCCACCTCGTCGCCTTGGGTGGATTGGGGTGAGCCCCAATCTCCCCCTTATGTTTGTCATGGTAATCCCCTTCTCTAGTTGTTGCTTTAACCGAATTGCTGTTATTTAGGGTTAGGATTCAAAATTTGTTTGACTGATTAATGATTTCTATAATTAGTTAGGGTACCAATCTGATGAGATTATTTAGGTTGTACTATAGGTTGCAGTAGTATAGTTAGTCGGTTGGTTTTGATTATTAGTTAGTAAAGTTAGTTATTATAGTTTGTATAGTTAGTTAGTATCGTTAGTTAGTATAGTTAGTATAGGTATAATTAGTATAGGTATTAATATTATAGTAGTTAGTGTAGTTAGTTATTATAGTTAGTCTAGTATAGTTACTTAGAATAGTTAGTATAGGTATTAATATTAGATTAGTTAGTAGGTACAATGATTTCGAAGACTTGATAAAGTTTTCTCAAATGCTTTTGTAGATGGATTGTTGTGTCCATGTTGTTTACGGAGGAAGTGTTAGGAAAGAAGATGGTTTGTTTGAGGATATGGAAGAAGAATTGGATCGGTGATGTAGTTAGCAATGATTTAGAGGATTCGGACGATGACCAAGGAGGCAGAGATGCTATGCCAACACCGTTTCATGCTATGCCAGTACCGGTTCATGCTATGCCAACACCAATACCCCATCAAGAACTTCATGCTATGTCGGTTCAGGGAAGACTAGTAAGGGATGTGCCAGAGGATGCTACCCCTTATGATTCATCTGTGTGCAGGCATTTCATCTGTGTGCATTCATCTCATTTGAAAAGCCTAGATGCTTAAACTAAAAAGCCTAGATGCTCAGACTGAAAGGCCTAGATGCTCAAACTGAAAAGCCTAGATGCTCAAACTGAAAAGACTGCAACTGTGTGCAATCATTTCATCTGAAAAGGCTAGTTCAATTGCAAATTAATGGCACTCAAAAGGCTAGTTCTGTTGAAAATAAATGTCACTGCAAATTTAAATGTCAGCTAACCAAAAAGATTCCAACAAAATATTAGTAAACTACTAACACAAATGAAGAAACAATGATACGGAAACAATTACTTACATTAAAACGACTGCATGTGTAGAAGCAATGCACAGTTGTGTCTCGATG